AAGGTGACCATACGAGGGCGCCACCGAAACATCTCCCCGCTAATAGGGCCGTAGCTCTCAAGTTTTCAGCAGCGCTCCAGGCGAGCAAAATAGAATATTTGGCTCGGGTTTCGAACATGCGTCAGTACGCTTCCCCACTAGAGTTTTTTTCTACTCCGTTCCATTTTAAGTAAGTGCCAGCGTAGCAGAGGCTACAAGAGCGAGCTGCGAGCTTTCAGCGTCCCTGTCAAGCACGCGCGCTCGTGCAGTGCGAGCATCTTTCAGGAGGACGTGCTTTTGCGAGTAGCTTCGGCTTCGCTATCACGTAAAGTAAAACATACATGCTCGCGGAAGCTATGAAAGAAGGCAAAGATGAAAGGAATGTTTCATGGGACGCTGCGGCCGCGAGCTGCATAATTCTTTTTTTAATTTTTATTTTTTTAGAGGTTTTGTTATCGCGCATCGTCAGATGCTTGCATTCGAACGTGGCACGTGCAAAATCGAACGTTACACAGCCACCTGGATGATTCAGCCATTATAACATGGTCGCGTCTTGCGGATGCGCTCGCGCCCCCTGCCCCAGAGCAACGGGTCTCTGCGGGCGGATATTTCTCGGAACCAGGGTTGGCACGTAACCCGTCGTCAAGTGTACCACTTCGTCCTATGAACTGCCTTCAACCGCGCCCCGGTCGTTTCCCGGGAAGGGGCCACAGCTAGAGAGTGTTCGAAACCAGACCGGAAGGCGGAAATGCAAGCGCAGGAAGGAGAATTCACGGAACTCGAGAGACGTCAAACTGAGGTTCGATACAGCCGGCGAAGAAACGACAACGTCGCAACTTAGGGTGGCAACAACGTTGGACGACATTTTTGTTTTTCTACTTTTAACATGGAAACAGAACGCCAACGCGTGCTTGGGAAAACACCGCGAAGATCACACCCACTATCTCTACGCAAACCAAAACAACGGTCAACGGACACGCGCCCTTTGGAAAGGAGCGTCGCCACAAACGTGAACAGAGGGACGGAGCAATACCACGTCATAGAAAACCCCAAACATGAAACACTCGGCCCTAGGAACAAGAAAACCTTTGTCGAGCCCTGTCACTGGGTTTGAGGCCAGACTTTCACCCTCGTCCCTACTAACCCTAACCGAGTGAACTCGACTTGGATATCGCAGCCTGAGTAGGCGCAATTTCAAACACCGCTGGCGGCTAAATTCTCGTCTTTACCCGCTGTTTCTTGCGTTTCATGCTGTCTGTATTTTCCTAAGGACATTAAAGAAAAAGAAAAAAACCATTGTACCACTATTAAAAAAAAACGTAATTTGTTTTTGTTGCGTACGCCCGACAGAACGAATGCGACTAAAATGTTTTTTTTTTGTCTGTTTTTTTTTTTTTACGATAAGTTTTAACGGTGCCCCCTGCTCAGCCGCGTATCAAACGACAAAGTGCTTAGCTGTCGAAAATAATTTGCAACATAAAATAGTTGAAGGGCATGTAAATAACACGCGTACAAATAACGTGTTTACGGATGGGACTCGGACATAAAATTTAGCAAGTGTTGACATTCGAATAATACGTTGTACGTACCACACGGTGAAGCGTTATCCGAAAGGGATCTACTTGAGAAAGATCTCAAATAACACAGCACAATAATGTCGACGACAGCCACATCTTGACGATCGGACGGAATCCAAGAGGACTTCGTTTTGGGGCACGTTTTCGGGAGAGCTATCTATTTTTCACACCAGCACCGAGGCAAAAACACGGACGTGACTGACGGACTGACCCGTTTCCTACCCCAACCCGAACAACGTGTTGGCGATGACTGAGAGGGACTTTACGCGGATTATATCCTTCCCGCTAAATTGAGCGGGAAACTTTTACCCTCATGACGTCAACGTGGCGTCATTATGGGAAACGTCCCATAATGCAACGCGCGGTTACGCCGACGCCGACACCGCTCAACCCGGAAACGGGCGCCTAAGAGCTGCGCTTTAAAAAAATAGTGGGTAGACCCCAAAGCATGTAGCATTGAGATTCCCACTATTTTTGTGCATCAGCCAATAAGCGCTCGGCGTCGTTCTGACGTCACCGCAACTCTCGCGCAAGACGCAGACGACTTGCTCTCCGCATAGCTTGCGTCAGCATAGCCATGCACCAGTGCGTCGAGCAGAGTCTTGCAACGAGCGCGCGGCGATGCCAATGCGCCGAGGAACTGAGGAAGGAGTAACGTCAGAACGCCGAGTTCCAATCGCTCAGTTTCTCGGCGCACACGGACGCTAAGGGCGGACGCGTCTGACGGCTTGCCCCGACTCTCGTCGAGCTTCAATGTGTTCTTGGGGCGTTTCGGGGATCCACTAACAATGACGTCATGAGCAGGCCTTGTCGTCTAGGTGGTACTGGACGAAGCCGACGACGGGGTCACCAGCGACGCTGCCTTTTTCCTCCGACGCGGCTGAAAGGCTCGTTTGCGTACGTCGTTTCAAAGGACACGGTGGCCGCACTTCGTGCATATTTCAAACGCAGGCTCCCGGCTGCCCATAACGTCAGAGGGCCGCTCTCGCCGGCCAGCTCGAAGAAAGGGCGCTGGAGCCTCGGCACCGCGTAAATTCTCCCGTGAAGGCCGGTCTGCTCATGAATGCGGGTTCAGACTCGGCGGTTAACTGGATTCGCAAGAGAGGTTTCGGGCTCACGTGAATGGCTTCGGGAGGACAAGAAACTAAAGGGGCCTGCGTTCCAGGCAAATGGCGGCCGCAATTCCGCCCCCGCTTCGATTATTTAAGTTCATTGCACGCGGAAAAAGCGGCGAAGGGACTCCAAATGTAAATGAAATATACCGCATTCGCGTACTTTAGAAGCGGCATAGCCCGTCACGTGACCTCAAAATTCCTCCCGCAGACGTGTGCTCCGTTTCACTCAAGTCCGCCTCACAGCCGACACTATCCAATCCAACGAAGCCAATCTAGAAGCATCAACAAATCCATCGTCACCGGCCTTTTGTGCTTCTGCGTGCAATGTCCGGCTGAATCAATCACGCACAGTAAACGCGTGATCCTGCCCTTCTGTGCATGATTGGTCCTGCCCGGAGATAGCAGACATGCGCAGACGACGAGCGCGGAGACGACGCACTTAAGGCGCTGCATGCTTGATTGGCGCCATGGGTATCATTATATACTCGCCTCCTGGATAGCTAGCCGCAGCGATCAGCAAACCGGCCCTGTGGAGTCTTCTCTATATATGCAGCTTCGATTCTATAGCAATTAAGAGTTTTCACCCCACGCCGCTAATAAAAACGAGTGGTCCCGCAATCGGCGTCCTTATAGTCCAGTCGAAGATACTTTTGGAGTCACGTAAATACGTACAGGTTTACGGTCCCCCCACGAGAGTTGATCGGAGTTACGCTTTTTACGCAGCTCGAGTAAATGCAGGCGCGAGTTTCGCCATAAGATAAATGCGCGCGAAACAGAAGCTATACAACAACGAGCTCGCCGCGCACATGCCCGCGCAGGCATAGCCAGCGGAAAGTCGACACGAAGTATATAAGGCTCATATGGTGAAACGAGCTATAATAAAGAAACTACCTTGTCAACGAGCTAAATATATATATATATATATATATATATATATATATATATATATATATATAATATATGAACAAATATGTGCAGATGAATGAACCGTACTTAATCCAATGAATCAAAAAATCAAAGTTTCCAGGAACCCGCCGAAAGCCAAAAATTGGCGGAGCCAGGATATGAACTCTGGGCCTCCCAATGTCCGGTCGGGTGTGCTAACCACTACACTTTTGGCTTTCGGCGGGTTCCTGGAAACTTTGATTCTTTGATTCATTGGATTAAGTACGGTTCATTCATCTGCACATATTTGTTCATATCCTCCTCGGAGACCACGTACGATGGTGTGAAGTGCCCGTGTTGTATGTATATGTATATGTATATTATATATATATATATATATATTATATATATATATATATATATATATATATATATATATATATATATATATATATATATATATATATATATATATATATATATATATATATATATATATATATATATATAGCTCGGGGATTTTGTTATTGCCAACACTACACGAAACTATATTTAGCCGATTTTTCCTTCGTGTTCTGTAGCTTCCCTCCAGCGATCAATGCAAACTACGACTGCTAAAACGTAGTTTCAGTGTTGGTTAAATAATAACCTTTCATAATATTCACTCTTCCAAAAACATAAAAAGTCGCCACGCATAATTAAAAAAAAAAAGCATAACATCTATGTTAGCTTTGTCGCTTGGAAATATTTCTCTTTAAAGTCCCGCCAACTCAGCATGCTTAGTTTCACGGTAAACTTAAACGTTAAACCTAAAAAAAAAAAAAAAAAAAAAAAAAAAAATAAAAAAAAAAGTTGTAGAGGATTAGAGAGAATTTCATTCAGACATGGTTGCCGAGGTCATAAGAACACCACGGCTGGAGCGCGAGGCGTTCTTATGACATAAATGATTGCCTATATAATTTCTAGCGCTATTCCAGCCCGAATGTTTCGATCAGTGATACATGAAGTTGTTCTGCTGAAATATATTCGAATGATCGTATTTGCTCGCGTGTTTCTATATGTTAGGCAATCTCCACCTACACCTTGGTCATGTGTAGAACCGGTAGTGTTTCAAACAAAAAAATTAATACGAAAATAGAATAAGCCTTTCTACTTTTGAAAAAATGAAGCGGACACGCTTATTGCTCCCAAAAGCGGCGACACACTCGAATCTCAACAAAACCAACAACAATAATAAAAAAAATAAAAAAAGGAAGAGCAATTTAATGGATTTCAACTTCTCTCTCGAAAGAGGACCCTCTGAACCAGAGGACAGGGTCATCAACCCCGACCGTGAAAAAAGCATGGCCGCCCAACAACAACGCGACCCGTACGGAGAGCTCTAGTCGTGCCAGCAGCACGCGTGGCCGCCGCTCGCGTTCCGGAAGAAGGGAAACCGTCTCACCGTTTCCGGTCCCGACGTCCCAACAGCGCTGGAGTCCGTTCCGCAGGCGGTATCCTGCGAAAGGGCGAAACGACGCACCGTTAGGGATCGCCGAGCATCCTCTCGCTACGAAGCGCCGGTACGCCACACTCCGTTTCAGCCTAAGATGGACAGCAGCAGACCATACGAGCCATTCCAACCAATGAAGATATGCGAACGTCAACGTACCGCGTGACAATAGGCCCCTCACGAAGGTCACGTGACACTCACGCGGCACTTGATTGGCTCCGATGGCTCGTAGCGTCCGCTGCGGTCCACGGTAAGGGGAAACGGAGCATAGCAGCAGATGCATTGTTTGGAAAAACGTCTTACTATATGGTCTTACGCACGGTGAACGAAGAAAACCACAAAAAAAGGGAAGAAGGCTCTTTGGAGTGCCGCCCATTTTTTTGTCACGGGGAGATGCGCAACGCACGTGTATGACTCGCGTAAAAAATATACAAACGACGTCTTCCGTGCGTGCTTCCCGGTCTGTATAGAAGGCGCTGAAAACAAACTACGTTTCGGGCCCGAGGAACGCTTGCCAAAACTTACTTATGGTTTAAAATTTGTTCACTTCAGCGACGAATCGTAGCGACGAATCGAATCAGCGACGAATCGTACTTGTCTAGTGAGAAAAAAAAAAATAGATGTTGGCACTATAGCCACATTGCTGGTAGCTGTGTGGCGACTATATGTCGGGGTGGATAACCTGCCTTCCTTGCCCAGCTTCACTAGGATGAACGATGACGGAAAACAGCGTGGTTTACATTAAACATTGCGAAAGCTCGCTGCGAGAGAAAATGTGAAAATGCCAACATGCTCTGATATATCGGACGCACATGCGTGAGCACTGAGCCGTCTGCGAAGTGACGCGGCTGCAGTTACGGCAGAGCTCGTTCACCCCAAAGTCTCGACATTGTTACGAGGTCCCCGTAACTCTGGCGGCTTTTAAATCAAATGCTTGTTACGCAGTCTTTTTTTTTTTTATTGATGACAGGTATGTGTACTTTCTAGGAATTCTGAAGTGTCCACTTTTCCGCAAAGCACTTGGTACAGCCAATCCCGGAAATCTACGCAAAGGCAGCTCGGCAAATACAAAAAAAAAAAGAAAAAAAATTCCAAATGTCGACAAAAACAAAGTATGGCGAATTGCTGGCAATTACGTTGCATATGTGAAACGTTCTATAGCATTACAAACGTTTATATCCTCGTTGAGCAGCTTGTCTAGCCTGTTCAGACATACGCCTACGTTCACCGTGTTCTTCATCAGATAATTTAGCGCGCGACATATGTACTTTTAATGATAAACCTGGTGATTTTCCAGAACCTTCTAACCCACTCCTCCTCGCCCACCTCTCCTCCTTACTCCACCCCTGGTCACTTGACCTCCCCGTTAACCAATCAGCGTCGAGTACCTTACTCCTCCTCTCCCACCCGTCAACCAATCAGTGTCAAGCCTCGCGGCCACGCTTTTATCCAGGCTTCACTTTCGGGGCTCACAAAATGCCAAAAACCTAGCAAAAACAAAACAAACAAACAAAAACGTTTCACTTTAAAAAAAAATAAAAGCGTGACGTTACACCACGGTCAGCGTCAAAGTGCACTGTTTTTTTTTTGTTTTTTTTTTTAACTACGTTTATACCTAGTTAAGTCTCGTCATCCGTTCAGCTTCCTCCGTAAACTGCCGTGATTAGCTGACCCGTGGGTGAATGGCGAAAAAGTGCACGCACCGGATTTGTACAGCCGCGGTTACACTGCTCTAACAAACTGTGCGAAATACATTCTGCAGACACCGTCTACGGCGTGTTAATTCTTCCTGGTGTGACATCACATTGGCCATACCAAAGACTGTCTTAGACGCACGCTCGAAGCATATATGCAAGTCGTCTGCTTCTTGCGCAGGGGTTGCGGTGACGTCAGAACAACGCCGAGCTCTGATTGGCTATGACTGAAAGGATAGTTGTATACACCTCAATGCTAGACGCCTCGAGATCTACCCAGTATTTTTTTTTTTTTTCTATCAGCCAATAAGAGCTTGGCCTTCTGACATCATCGCAACCCCTGTGCAAGAAGCAGACGAACTTGCGTTCCGCCTACATTTGTATGAAGCAAACGCACTTCCGTCACGCTCGAGCCTCGAGGTGTGTCCGCAAGATAATTATGTCGTCTAATCTGCAGTGAGCACATCGTTTTTTGTTTTTTTTTTATATATCATGAACGGGCAGTGTGGCTGCGGCGGTGATGACTGCCTTCCTCCCTACATTTGTGCTTTCTCTCACCAAGTTCAGAAGGGTATAATTACTCGCGCCTCCTATGCACCGGCTTCGTAATTAAAGAAAAAGAAGAGACAAAGAAAAAAATATTTCTCGAAGAGAAGCTTTGAGTGTAGACGTAAACAAATAGACATAAATATACAGCCCCCAAAATGACGACCTTGTTAGACAAAGGAGAGTGGAGAACATGGGCTGCTGCCGTTCTTTTCTAATGGGGGTGGTACAACGAGACCAGTCGTCAATTTTACGAGACAGACGCTGGCCCTGAACGGCGTTGAGGCAGTAGAAAACAAAAAGAGAACCGGACATCTTTCAGACGACGTTTTGCTAAGATCGAGGGAAGACATCCAAATGACTGCACGCTGTCCCTCTCAAACAAGCGCGCCAACAAGATTCGAAAAAAAAAAAAATACATGGAGCAATGAAACACCCGAAAGCTCGTTTCTCTTCCGCGCGCCAACAAAAACAGACGGCACTAACGACACTTTCGTTGCCTTCAACGCGCTGAAGACGCGTGCGGCCGTGAACGTCTAGCGAAGTCCACAAAAGCAACCATAAATGAGTGTGACTATATCTTCAAAAGTTGCTCGTAGAAGTGAGAAGATTCAAAAGACAATTTCCGAGGTTGCTACTATATAGTCCATTCGGACCCATCTCTCGAAAAGAAGGATTCGCGCCAGCGAGCACACGTTTTCTCGGAAGCCACCGCGGGGCGTCTCGTTGAGTCATTCCGTCCGCTTCTGCAGCTGCGGCGGTCAAGGCGGCGATTCGACGAGGACCAAACGCCGACAAAGACGGAGCCGCCAAGGACGGCTCAGTCCATCGCAAAGCTCACGCAATACGTCGGCAACAAAACATTCACTTCGCCGCCACGCCACAAAGGATGTGCGAACTTTCGTCGAACTTCAGGATCGACACGGTTCTACGAACCTTCGACCTTTTGGTAAAATTCGACGAAGTTCGACTTTTCGTGCAGTGTTGCCCGACTTAAACGTAAAAATTTCAAACTATGGGAAAAGATCATTTTAGTAAAATAACTACCAATGTTTCTGCAACATAAAAACAATCATATACAAGTTTTTAATGATTCGGTTAGCTCTTCATGGAAATATATACACGCAATATATATTGCACGCTCCCTCCGCCAGGTGGTGTAAGCTGTTTTTCAATTTTCTCGCACACGCAGAAAACTCAAAGTTCAATCGAACTTCTATCCAACTTCGCGTTGAGAGTCCGTAAAATTCGATCTGGTCGACCTCGTACCCCAGCAGGTTCGCGACATCATTACGCATCATCAGTCCACCGCTTTCTTTGCGCAACAACCTGTAACCCAGCTGTCCCCAACACGCGCGCGCACCCCCCTCCCCACACACACACACACACACACGCAAGCAGGCAGGCACGCACGCACGCACGCGCACGGCGTCACGGCCGCCTCGTGCGTAATCGAGCATCAAAGCCACCATTATGAGAGACGGCGAAAACTTGGGGGTTGGGTGAGCTCGTGGCGCATCGGATTTCTGCCACCGCGCACGCCGAGAGAAGGCACGCGGGGTGCGGACGCGGAGGGTGGCGCGGTGGACTCAAAAGACCGAAAAAGCGTGGCGGAGACGTAAATCGACCGGGACTGAGAAAATATTATTGTCGGGGGAATTTTCGACGCCGGGCTCCGATAAATTACGCCGCCAACACGCACGCACGCGGTGGCCTTTCGGACAGTTAGCTGCTGCGGAAGAGGCCCCGCGCGCGGGGGGAGCCTCAATGACGCCCGTGGCGTGAGTGCCTGAGCACGCGGAAAGTGGGAGGAAAAGGAAGCGCAGGATAAAAGAGATGCGCGAGCACTCTGTCAGGATGTCGCCAGCGTCGTCTGCGTGTTATGGCGCTGCCTCAATTTAGTTGGACCGTGCTTTTCTCGCGGCAAATGGTCCAAGTCGTGGTCGAGGTGAGGCGAACTTTACGGGACGTTCCGGCGACTGAAGGTCTCTCTCTGCATTCTGCGCTTTCGCGTGAAGTGTTTTATATTTGGGCATGGCGCTCGAGACGGGCGAGCCAAGGCAAGTGATCCCTTACCGCGCGTGTTTATAGGTTCTCCGGAACGGGTATGCCTGCTCGCTCTTTCTCTACGCAGAACAAAGCGGCGTTCCAGCGCAAATTCCTGATCCTTCCATAAAACTCGCTTCGAGAGGAAGATCCAAGGGTTAGTTGTTGCAACAGAACATATGTATAGACAGAGAGGTTTCTGTTTTGTTGCTCATCAGTCAGTTCTTTCTGTAAATACAACCCATGCCCATCTTGTTTACAACCTTCTGGACAGAGGCAACACAATAACTACGCGGGATTCGCTTATTATATTCCAAGAATATTCCCGGTAGTCATTAATCATGCGGAAACGTCGCCCGATATAGTCACAATAAACTGACGACGCTGGGATAATGAGCCCCACGGAACAACAACCAGAGGTTCAAAATAGCGGCACTCTGCTCTTCAGATCTATCTTCAAATGGAGTACAAAGGAGCCATGGCTTCATTCGCGCGGTTCGTACATAGGGTTTAATTCGTACAAATGTCAAACCTTAGCACCTCGTTTGTTTGTTTGTTTCGCAATTTTAGTTGCTGCAGTTCGAACACAGTTTAGAAATAAGGAAATACTCGCGTTGGTTGGTCCCCAAAGTATGTCGCCGCAGCAAACTCACAAACCCGAACAACGAACGCGCTCGATCTGCTGGCCGAGGAAAACCGATTCAACCAAGACGAATCGCC